AATGCAGGCTTGTCAAAGTTTAAATAGCACAAAAAGTATCACAGCCACCACCAACATGACACACAGACACGTAGACACACAGACACACACACACATAGAGGCTCCTAATCACACTCTCCCAAAGAAACCCTGGCCAGTGGATTAGAGTGATCTCAATCATTTCTGATGCATGTGCAAATGCACATATAGTGCATACATGTATTATTCTGTATATGTGAATATGCATACATATATGCACACACAAGCATATAAGTGTACACGTGGGTACAAATGAACACCTTGTGTTTCAGAGGATATCACACAGACTGTCTTGTGATAGAATGTGAAAGGTCTCTGGAACTGTGCAGCTCTGTGTACAGAAATAATGCTACACGCAAAGACAGACATGCATATGCACATATACTAGCATTTCCCTTTTTAAAAAACATGTATGAAGTAATACTAAATACAGTAGATTACTTTTATTTTGTATAAATTGCCTTTTTCAGTGAATAGTATATCATACATGTCTTTCCATATCAATGCATACAAATCTACTTGATTATTTTTACCTTTTCTATAGTGTTCAATTGCTCAGATGTATCAAAATGTATTTAGCCAATTTGTCTCTAATAGAAATTCATGTCACTTTCATTTTTGCTACTATTAGTAGTACTTTAAACTATTTATACCTACTTTGATTATGTATATGGATTTTTACAATGACTTTAAAGTGCATATATGTGTATATGTGGACATAACTTTTTGTTCTTCATATGCATTTTCATGAATAAATGTAGGTCTACAGCTTCATTTCTAGTGTATATTATGAGAGAGTGGAGATAGGGAACTAATTTGTTTAATGAATGCCTTAGTATTGGTCATTTATGCTATTCTTGACTTTTCACTAGCATGAGCAATACAGTGTTGAACACCTGTATATTTAAATCTTTGTGTATTTGTCAAATTTATTTTCTTTGAATCCACTCCTAGAGGTAATGTTGTCAGGTGAAAGGGTATGCGTATTTTAAAGGATATTCACTCCACTTAAAAGGAATATCGATTTTGTCATGTGCATTCATTGAACAACGTTCCTTGATAAGATAGCCTTGGAAAGAAACACTTATACTGCACAGGCTGTTGGTTTTCAAACCTAGTGTGGTTGGCAGAATAATAGCCCCATGTTCACATCCTAAACCCCCAACCTGTAATTATGATATGTCACATGTCAAAGGAGAGCTAAGAGTGCAGATGGAATTAAGATTGCTAATCTGCTGATTTTAAAACAGGTGGGGGTAGCTGAGGTCCAATATAATCACAAGGATTCTTAAAAATAGAAGATGAAAGCAAAAGAAGAGAGTCAGAAGGAGATGTGACTACGAAGAAATGATTAAAGAGATGCCATGTTGCTGGCTTTGAGGGCAGAGATAGGGAGCCCTGAGACAAGGCACGCGGGCAGTTTCTAGGAGCTGGAAAGAATAAAAAAAGGAGTCTTCCTCAGAGCTTCCAGAAAGAATACAGCCTGTAGACACCTTGACTTTTAGCCTGATGAGACATAGGTAGGAGGACTTCTCCTATCTGGTATTATAACATAAGACATTTGTGTTGTTTTAAGCCAATAAATTTGTGGTGGTCTGTTCATAGCAGCATGGGGAAGCTGATAGACCTGGTTACCACGAGACTAATGGCAGTGGTGTGTGTGTGTGTGTGTCTTGTGCGTGTGTGTGTGTGTGTGTGTGTGTGTGTGTGTGTGTTGGGAGGCAGTTCTTATCCTCAGACACACCGATTCCGTAGTTTGGGGAAGAGCTGGGGTTGCTTATTTTCAAAAGCCCCATCCAGTGAGGATTTGAGGAACCCTGATGTAGATAACACAGGTCTGTGAAAGTAGTCATCTTCTGTTATGTAGACAGTCGCTTGCTGGCTGGGAGGATGGTCTCTGGGAAGGTGATTAAAGATGTAGCTGGGGCTCCAATCCGGCAACAGTCTCCACCTCTCAAGTGACAGTGGTGTTCAACCTCATCAATCCAAGCCTAATCTCATTTTCCACCTTGATTTTCAACCGCTCATCAACTCAAATGCTCCACTCTAGCTGGACTAGTCTAATCATTACCTGTCTATTCTGTAGGAGTTGTCTGTATCTGCTCTTAAAATTCTGCTATATGTTTGTGCCCGATGGGCTCTCCAGGAAGCAGGTACCCAGGAGTTAGGAATGTGGGAGGTGTATGGGGGCTTGCTGGGTATTACCTGTGAAAGACAAAAAGTATACAGAAGCAGGATCAAGCAGGGATAAAATCAGATCATGATGCAGATCTGACAGAACCACTTCAACAAGAGTTTTAGGACAAACACTCTAAAGCAGAGGAGTACCACATTGGGCAGAAATGCCCAGGCACTAGAATTCTTACAATGCTCGGGGACTGCCTTCGGCTCACAGTGAGCATGACAGAAAAGAATCTTAAGACATGTTAGTTGATGGAGGCCCTCAGATAACCACATTCCTTGCAGCTGAATGGAAAGTTCTGTCTTGAAGAGGGTTCTGACAGCCCCATTCCTTGGTGGCCAGGTTCTCTGGTCCTTAGTTACTTAAACCATTTTTTTCTTCTGCAAGATCCAGTAAAGTTACAGCTGATGGGACCTGTAACTGCCATATTTATTTCAAAATACAAGCTCTAGAATTAACCATAGGGATCATCTCATTTTACACATAGAGAAACTCAGAACTAAGGAGGTGGTGGGGCTGGGGTGGAGAAGTCTGATTCCCAATGACAAAGCTAGCTAGAGGCAGAACCAGGACCAGACCTCAAGTGACCTAAGACTCAGTGCAGGTTTTCAGTAGTATTAAGAAAGGGTTCCCACTTGTACAGGTCAGAGTTTTCAGCTAAAAAAATAACCATAACTGCTGTAAATAGGCTAAATTGATCCTAAGCATGCAAAATTATTAGAAGGAAGAATACAATAACCGAATTTATCTTTTGGAAGGTATTTGAAGCTTCACTTATATGATTATAAGGAAATAGTGATAACATGGGGACACTTGTGAAAATGCTATATATCCTAGTTTATTTCTATAATCACCACTAAGCTACAAAAATTCAGAGGAACATGGTATTTTAAAATCTTACCCATTAAAAGAATTGAAATAAATCACTGCATTATTACTTTGCATTTTGAAAATACAAATAGCTTACAAAATTATTTTTAATTAATTATGTTAATCTGGGAAATAATTGGGAAAAATTCACCATTTATTGTTTGCATGGGAAAAATAACATTTTAATTAACATTTTAATTTAATTTTGTGGAAAGTGGATTTCATTTTCAGTGTTAGTCAGAATATTGATTTTTAGAATGAACAGAAAAGCACTTAAACACAGGCCTCAATTATATCTGCAAATAATATTTAAATAATTTTAAAGATAGTCTTTGTTACCTAACAAAGGGAATTGTTATCTTTTTTGTTTTTTCAGAGACAGGCATCATTTAATTGTGTGAGAGTTTCCAGCCCAACTGAAGCAATTTCATTTCTTCCAGATTGTAAAGTTCAACAGCAGATGTGTTTGGAAGCAGAGGGAGAGAACCAAGGCAGCTGAGGAGGCAGAGTCGCTTGTTAATTTCTCAGAACTGTAGAAAAAGATGTGAATGAGGTTTACCGGCTCTAGCTCTATCAGAGCTTAACCTCCCACAGTTTCAAGACCTTAATCAATCCGGTGGAGGAAATGTCATCTCCTCTCAACTAGCAACTGACAAGATCATCAGCTAGAGTGTAGATGAAGCTACACACAGACAACACACAGGGGCCAAATACCCCAAGGAAATCTTGTGTCAAGGGTGGTACATATTGAGGGGAGGCAGGAGTAGGGAGGAGACTATTCCTTTATTTTAAGGATAAAATGACAAAGCAAGTCAAAGGCATGCTTTTCAACTCAGACCTTTGGAAGTAAGATAGCAAATGGAAAACAGGATGGCTATAGAAAGCCAGAACTCTGAGATTAAGTAGCAGTCGATCTAGACAGGAATCTACCTATATATGCCAGAGGAGTGCAAATCTATTAGTGATCAGAGCTCTTTTTTCCATCTTTATTAAAGTAGCAATCTTGATTACTGCTTTCAGCTTTATTCAAGCAAGAGCTTCTATGGATTTGTAAGTAAATGTTGTCTGATCACGCAAGCTACCTAAGACGCCTGCCCTATTGGAATCATTTCTCCTTTTCCCTAAATAGCATATTAAAGTTTTCCTTATGATATATGCTATCCTCTAACACAGATGAATCTTTCTAGAATGAGCCAAGATAAACACGCGCTGTATATTTACACATCATGAGTGCTAGAATCAGATTTCCAACCATCACCTAAAAAAGAACAAGGCTCCGTTAAGGTCCATGACCTTAACAGAAATCTATTGGCTAGGTCTTTTGTCCTCTTGCTAAGTCTGGGAAATGGATACAGCGCACTGGCAAAGGTGTTCTTGAGATAAGAGAATTGCTGTATTATTGCCAAAGATCACCAATCTCCTCATGCAAGATTTGTATTCTTATTTGCATAGCACATGAGAGAGAAAGTATCTAAGAAGCATCCGGGTATTAACCCTTGCCAAGTATTGTGAAGAGAGTACAGCATTGAGTGACGCCCTGGGTTTCAGTGTTGGCTCTGTTATTATGTGATTTGAGGAAGGTCATTTACCTTCTCTGAGCCTCAATATTCATATACATTAAATGAACAAGATAATACCAATCTCGGGGTAATTGGAAAGTTTAAATGAGACGGTAGATGTAAAAAAGTCACAATCCAGAATAGCACCATCTGAAAGAATTCAGTTTTATTATGATTCACTCTCTGAGCTATCAAGCAAAAGCAAGTGGGGTATGAAAGCGGCACAGCGATAGCAGGGGCTTCCAGGGTTGTTGCAGGGCAACTACGCGGCTCACTCTAGATACATGGCTGTCTGTCAGACTGGGCAGAGGAGTGAGCTTCAGAAATTGTCGTCTGATCTGGAGCAATCTTCAGTGAGGTCTCATTGCCGTATCTTGTGCCAAGTCTTGCCTTGCTCCTCCAACTTGACGGAAAATGTGACGGGTATCCAGCTGGGTGGCCCCAGTAGTTCAGTGCTGAGAAGAAAGTATTTCTCAGATGTTACTAATGCTGAAGGAACTAAAGAAAAAGTTACATTGTTTGTGAAAGCCAGGTGAGCCCCATTTGGAAGGGCGTCATACTCCACCAGGCTCCAAAAGGACACCTGTAGGTTGTCAGGTGCCCGAGTCCCCATCATGAGAGCAAGCAAAGATGGAAACTGAAGGAACTGCACTGAGGAAGTGATCTGGATACGGAATAAACTCTGCTCCAGCAATAAGCCCAACTTGGGATGGGCCACTTTGCTCAGTTTCCAATAAGTAAGTTGTCACATTTCTCAACAACTTTTTTAGAATTGAGGAACCAAAATCTCCAAGTGAACATAGTTCATCGGTCAGGTTCAGACTGAGAGTTTTCAGCTTTTTTCCGGATTTGGGATATGTAGGGAGACTGCGGCCTCAACCCATTCTTGGCAGGTCTTGCCTACTCCATTTTCATGTTGCTTTTGGTAGAGGCAAGAGTGAAGTTGGCCATAGTCCAATTAAGACTGGAAAACTTCGGACTTGTCGATACCTCGATTCAAATGAAAAAATGGGGCAGCCCCACAAAATCTCATGTGGTCAGTTTTGCCTCAAAGGATGCTGCTAGGGAGTGTTGGCGGCTATGATTTTTCAGTAAGAAGGCAGCACATGTAGTGAGCGAGTGGGATGAATGCTCTCCACTCCAGAAGAACTGTTTTAAACATTTTATATGCTGGGGATTCACTTAACAAGTTTGAAAAACCTTGGCATAGGATATAGTTGCCAAAGAAAAGAAATACACAGTTTTAGGGAGAGCATAAACTTGTTTCCGATTCAGTGTTCTTTAGTGGCAGAAATGGAAACTAGAGATGAGACCCTTGGATTCACAGTTTGAAAAAATTATGTGCAGGTTTAGAAAAAAATTCTCTTCATCACACCAAGGTTAATAAAAGAACAGGTTTTTTCTTCTCTCTGGAGACGGGCTTCCTGTAAGTCAAAATAAGCATGACAATGAAAAAGCCAGCCCTGGAGTGAAATCAGCCCAAGTTTGAGTCTTGAATTCACCATTGCCTAGCTGTGTGACCTTCGGCCATTTATCCAGTCTGTCTGATTCTTACTTCATAAGACGTAAGAATGCTTACTTCGTTCCTTACATTCATTCTTACATTCATTCCGTAAGAATGCAACTACTTCCTAAGATTCTGGTGAGAGTTGGGTTAAATGCATATAAAGCCCTTGGAAGAGTGGCTGGCACATACCTGTTCAATAAATGTTCATTATTATTTTGTTTCAAAAGGCAATGTCTCTATAGATGATAGAGTTTAATTATTATGCAGTCAAGCTGCACCTTAGCTTAGTGAGCAAGACCAAGGACTCTGAAGTCAAAGTGATTCTGACGCTCGCTTTAACTTTGGGCAGGTTAATTAACTTCTCTAAAACCTCAATTTCCCCATCCATACATGAGGGTAAATACAGAATCTGCATTGTAGGTAGCTACTAGGTTTTTGTTGCTTTCTTTCTTTTTTTTGGCATTTCGGGGGGGGGGGTCTTGTCCATGCTAGCTCTACCACTGAGCTACACCCAAGCCCACTACTAGCTGTTATTTTGCTTCACTTCTATGATTTTTGTCATTCTCCTCCTCTCTAATGTGCTTGTACGTTACCTAAACCAACCATTCCTGGGGTCACACCCTAGAATTTGCCACCACCCACAAATATGGAACCCTTACAATCTCAGTTTCAAACATCCGTCTCCCATTTCATTGGTTCAGCAGTCTTATCCCTGCATTTTTATGTAACCTCCAAGCCACTGACTTCTACTAGCCTGGTAACTTCCATCTGCATCCAGTTCCTTCCTTATGCAGCTTGGATACCATGGCCTTTTGTTAAAACTCACTTTCAAACACCCTCCATTCCTTGTCCTCATGCTTATGTGCTTATGTCCTCATGCTCATGATTACTTGCCACAACCTCACCCTTGGATGAGGCACCCATTGCCTTCTCTGCATATTATATGAACCTAATGTCACTGGTAAAAATCCCACAACACAGCTGGCTGTCCCCACTTGAAATCCATGATCTCAGATGTCAGATAAGCACTCAGAAATGCTACTTCTAGTTTTCTATTAGCAGGTTTGCGGTCCCGCTGCCCCAAAGACTTTTTCATACTTTCCTACTCTCTTCAAATGTCCCACACGCTCACTCTCAGCTGATGACCCTGCCTCCACAGCTGATTGAGAAAATAGACATCAGTAGAGGACTACACTGTAGTCACTACACAAGAGAGCCTGAAAATCTGTTTGCATCTGTCATTATCCTCTTTAATTTGCACACTTTCAATGGCAGAGCAGTTCCTCTTCTCACGAATTGTCAGTGCTTCAAACGTCCCTTCTTTCTACCTAACAGCTTCACCCATGAAGTTATTCCCATCCTCCTGCAATCTCAGTCTCTCCGACTTTATTCAAATGTTCCCACTATCATTCAACTTTGTAATATTTGCCATTTTTTAAAGTAAATCTTTCTCAAATCCCACTAGTTTTCTTAGGGATCACTTCACTTTTCTTCACTAATTTAATGTTAAAGGTCTCTAAGAATCTGCTGGAAATTACTGACTCCTTTTCCTCATCTCCCATTCACTCTTCAACTCAGCCCAATCTGGCTATCTGTGTCACATAATGAAATCTGCTCTTAAGAAGGTTACCCAACATCTTTGATGCCACATCCAGTAGAAATTTCTCTGTCCTCTTATTTCACCTCCAAGGTTGGTTGGTTTGTCTTGCAAAAAAATATCTTAAGCAGATTAATCTTTATTATAATGGCAGATATTTTCTTACTATTTCCTTTTTAAATGTCCTTGTATTGTTCACAGCATGCAGGATTTCAATAAATATGTACGGCCCTCTACGCGAGGCTTTGTTGCAAGTATTAGAAATACGACAATCCATCCCTCAAATCATAGCTTTCATGGAACTGACATTTGGGTAGTGGATCTATATGACACCCTCATCCGCTCTTCACATTAGACTGTTTAAATGCCTGAGATCAGGGCCTAGAGCGGCAATTTTTCCTTTTGATCTCCTCTTAAACACAGTTTGAGCCACACAGAATTCCCTGCCAAAAGACTTACCTGTGTTGATAGCTGACTATGTGCCAGGTGTTATTCTAAGTATTTGCATACCTCATTTCACCCAATGCTCAGAGACACCCTTTGGAGTGGTTACTATTTTATGCTTATTCTACAAAAGGCAAATGAGGCATAGAGAGGTTAAGAGATGTGACCAAGTTCCTGAGGCCAGTAAATAACAAAGCTGGGATTTGAACCTTAAACTTAAGCCATGAAGATCCTCTTCCCATTCTACCCAGACTGTCTTCATTTTAAAGCCCCTACTGCCACTTCTTTCAAACTGAGTGTACAACCCCAAGTTTTGGGCTTTGGTCGCATTTTCCTGCCTTCAGAGTCCTGGAATGGCCTTATGTGCTAGGCTGAAAACTGAACAAAACTACCTCCTTGGATAGAGCAAGCTAATCTTTGCCGATCTGTTCATCTTTCTGAGTCATCCTACTTACTTCAGTCAGTAAGTTGGGCTTAGATTTAAAAATACAGTAGAATTGTTTCTCTAGCAAAATGAGAAATAGTTCAATAAGTTTTATAAGACATGAAGTGCATGGGCTTTCTGAAACCAAGATGGAACAAATTCTATCTGTGAAAATACAAAATAATAGAAATAAAATGTCCTGTCAGCTGCTGGAGACCCTGGCTTTTACACTACAAACTCCTCAAGTTTCTTATTTGGGTACAGAACCACAATATCAAAGGCTAAACCAGATACCTAGCCAGGTATGGTGGTGCATGCCAGTAATCCCAACACTTAGGAGGCTGAGGCAGGAAGATCACCACAAGTTTGAGACCAGCCTGGGCTACATAGTGAATTTGAGCACATCCTGAACTACATAGCGAGAGCCTGTCTCAAACAAACAAACAAACAAACAAACAAACCCAGATACCTACTTTCATTTGCAAGGCTGGGACTGACAGGTCCAGGACTCGGGGAGACATACAGTTTTTTACCTGGAACAGAAAAAGAAAAGATGACTCAAAATGAAATCTCTGTGGCTGGGCTAGAATGTATCCAAAAGCACCCCCAGGGTCCCAGACTGCCTGCCCCTCAGCTTATGGAATCTGACATATCTTCTCTCCAGATGCTAAAAACCAGGAGCTTCTGTTGTTAAGGCTCCTTGGAACATGTTCTCATCTTCTAGGCAGTGATCCTGACTAAGAGATGCTGACTTCCTGCACAGACCCTGGACTAGTCACCAATGAATACAAATGATGTCATCCTTAGTCGAAGAGTGTGAAGAGCTCACAGCAGTTGAGACTTTAGTGATAGACATTTGTGAATGTGTATCATGTCAGCCGTGATGTGCCTGGGTATAGTAGATGTTCACTAAATATTTGCTGAATTGGATTTGACCGTGCATTGTTATGTTTGGAAGATAATGATTTGGGCCATCTGTGTCCTAACCAACTGTTGAAAGGGCACTGCTGTGTGTATGTACACGCATATATACAAAAACAGTTGTTCTAATCTTCCTTCTAAATCCAGTACGAGAAGATTTTTGAAAAGCAGTTACAGAGTGGGAATTTTCAGATTTCCCAAGCACGACATTTTTTATGATTTACTGTCTACAAACACTGCAAATCAAATTCTGGAATTGGGTATTTTAGTGGGAAATTTGTTTTCAACATTAGGATGGAATACAATGCAGGACTTAGGCGTGCTGTATTGAACGGGTCCTTTTTGCTTCGTTCACAGTAAAGACAGCTTCCAGTAATTTCTTTCAGACCTGGGGCCACAGATACATGTAGAATAGGGAGTTCCAATTGAAAGTTTATCCATAGTACAGAGTACTATAGAGGGTACAGACTTGTCTCTATGAAACAATTATATTTATAGCAAATATTTCACACATAAGGTACGTCTTACAGCACAGTGGATTGCTTTTTGGTGAAAGTATAATTCAAGCCAATTCTTCCCCATCCTCTTACAAAGGGTGTTTGTCTGTTTTCTGATGGGTATTTTACACTGAGTAGGCTCTGACTAAATATTTGTTGGGTGAGGATGTGAATGAAAGAATGAGCGAGCCATAAGGGTATTTTTAGTTTAGGGGAAGAGGTAGCCATCAGAGCACAGTAACCCTAAGGAAACCAAGCAGGAGGGACCAGTGCGCAGGCAGCCAGCCACTGTTACATCTCCAGGCAGTGATGGGGCTGTCTCTCCAGTCTCTATGAATTTTAATGTGTGGAGCAGATGGTTGGTATAGTTTGCCCTTGTTTTTGCCCAGGAGCCTGGCATCATTGCAAGTTGTCAACCTGTTTAGAGAATAGAGTTTGAGCCTGTAGGTAATTCATAGGCCTCTGTTTTGCAAATAGATTATTTAGTGACTCCCAGGGAGGTAAATGTGAGACTCTATGATTTTAGGCAGTCAGATGTCATTTTTTCTAGGGAGAGGCCAAGTCTAAAGACTCAGTGCATATCTCAAGCCAAGCCCCTCTGGCTGCCTATCTATGTAACCGTTTAGTTACTAAACTATGAATGTCAGTGAAGCCTAGGGAAGACGTATAGATATTTATGCAAAACATTCCATCCCTCAGCAGCAGCAGCCCCTAGTCCAGAGCGGAAGCAATTAGTCTTAGCACCCCATCTCATGCCAACTCACTCAACCACGGCCAATCAGAGGCAGTCTTCCAAGTATCTGTAAGCGTTTCCTTACAGTGGACTGAGCTGGGAGGCAGGTTGAAGAACAGTCCCGTGCTTCCGGCGATCTGGACAGGGTTGTAATCTTCCCTCACGGCAGGTTCCTGAGGACAAGTTAGGCATCTGTCCTGCTGGAGGTAACTTAGGAAGGGATCACATTTCCTAGCTTGGTGAGGCCCTGGAACCAGGTGCCCACCGGGAAATACTTGAGCATAGCCAGGCTCTGGGGTGCTGGGGCTTGCCAGGGAGGGGAAATGCCACAGCTCCCTGGGATGAGCAGAGGGTGTCTCCGACAGGGCCAGGGGGTAGTGATCCACGGCCATGGGATCACACACACTCAATCTGCTGGTGGTGGCAGGAGTTGCAAGGGATGCTTCTGGCAGTGGCTTTGTCCAGGGAGAAGAGAAATGCCAATGATTTGGAGGCATGTCACCATCTGGGAAGGAAAGATTTAAAAGACGTGTTAAGTGTTCACTTATCATTTTGAAAATAGAAATAGCTCATTTTTTTCTGGTTGAGTTTTTTGGGTTTTTTGTTTTGTTTTTGTTTTTGGTTTTTTTTTTTGCAGTCCTGGGAATCAAACTCAGGATATTGCGCTTGCCAGGCAGTTGCTTATGCCCCTGAGCTATATCCCCAGTCATTTCTGGTTGATATATGCTATATTTTTTAATTTGAGGAAAATGTACGAAAGGTTAAAAACACACTAATCATAGAATCAAGAAATAGCCAATGTGGTCTTTTGTTGTACTTCTTTCTAGGATTTCTAATTATGTGTGCATAGTTTTCACAATATATTGTTATTCAAGCTAATTTTTCTTCACTAAAATATCATGACTATCATCTCACGGCCAATATCAACTTCTTTCTAGGCTTTGTTTGTTTTGTTTATGCAGGCATGGTTTTTACACTATATCTTGTTATAAGCTGATTTTTCTTCATTAAAATATCCATGAATATATTTTTTCATGGTAAGAAATACAGTCAAACATCAGCTTTTTAAATGGCTTTCCACTATTCCATCAATGGACAGTAATGCACACACTGGTGTCATATTTGTGGGCAGCTTAGTTCTTTACATTTTTCAATTATATTCACACCACGTTTACCCCGCTGTCAAATGAGCCCCTCTGGGACACGTTTACTAAACATGAAAGTACTTGATTTGTGTTTGCTGCTGTTGTTTAGTTCTATGTTATCACTACTGCTTTGAATACACCACATAAAAGGACTTCACAGCTCTTTATAGAGGGTTTAACGCTTGCCTATGTTAGTCATTCACACAATTCTAGGGGTGGCAATTCCATTTCCAGAGGAATCTGGGACAGGGGATGTTAAGAGACTGGGCCAAGGTAGCAAAGCAGATTAGCCCAGTAGGGAACTGGGTAGGAAAGTAGTTGCTTGGAACTCACTCTGCAAAAGCAACGTGGTTAGGGACAAGAGGCCTCTGTGTGGACTGGCTAATAGGGATGAAGTCTCCTTTGGTGCCATACACACTATTCTAATTGTGCCTGTGGTAGAGGCTGAATCGCAGATCTCAGATGTCTAGGATAGCTCACGACACGGATGGGTGTCTCTCCATTCTCGACACCCACTCAGGCGAGAGAAGAGGAGGGAAGAGCTCTGCCAGATGGTGCTTAAAACCTGGAGCCTCTCATCTAGCCAAGATAATGGGGGAGGGGGTGGGTGTGGAAAACAACGAAACTTGTCTGGCTGGAGAGCCTGCCTGAGACTCTTATCCCCTTTCCCCCCATAAGCACTTCTTCCAGCTCTCCTGACTGTTCAACTTTGACTGGATTTTGTACCAGATAAAGACATCTGAGAGGCCAGCACAGCGCTGCTGGAGTGCCCCCATCCACCACCATAGTTTTCTATGTAACGCAGATGATAAGAACAAAAGCAGCCCAGCCCACGTGGCACAGACCTTCCACTCTTGCTCTCACAGCGCGCGCTATGAGCAGTGGGCATGGTGGCAAGGGAATATTGGGATGTGTTCTTACGGGTGGATGTTAGTTTTAAAGATTGTTTCTCTTGCCTGACAAGCGCAAGGTCCTGAGTTTGATTCCTGGTATGAAAAAAAAAAAGAGAGAAAAAGATTGCTTCTCTTTGGGACAGTAGCAACTGGGGTACTGTGCGGCACGAGTAGAGTGATTAAATTGATTTCACAGAATCACTGTCAGTGATTCATATTAAATGGAGCTACTGTATGTCCTAAGCATAATCAGAAACAAAGCATAGCCTCTGACAACTGGGCAGTTTCTCCCTAGACTGGCCTCACTGATCTCATACATATGACCAAGGTGCTTGCTGAATGCTCCCTGTGGAAAGTAGGGCTCCAGGATGTTTTGAATATTCCTGTTAACCGCTTCTGTTCCAGCGTCCTGTGACTGAAATGCTAAGGGATGTAGGTGGAGTGCCACTGTTCATGGGCCCCTGTGGTCACTGGGGGCACCAGAACACAGTCCGGATGGAAGCTTGAGGGGGAATGCAGGGAGCCTCCATCCTGAGTTCACCTCAACCCAACAGCTACGGCGGAACTGGGGGGACACACTTTTCCAGATCAGGCTTGGGTGTTCGTGGCCCGTGGAGTAGAGATTCTACATTTGGGTGGGCTATTTTTTCTTGAACTTCTTGGGCCAACTGTTCCAATAACCACGCCTATCTACCCTGTGGACAGTACAAGGCATCTTAAACTTATGGCTTGGGCTGACACAATGCTGCTGTTGCTAGCAGAAGTGGCTCTGGTGACATTCGTCCCCAAGTGCGCTTGCTTAGTTACCTCTTGGAGTCAAAATAAACCTATCCTGCTTTAGATTGTGAGTACCAGGTATTTAGGTGATAGCATCAAGAACCAATACACAGGAGCTTTTTTGATCCTCCCAGAAAGCCAGATAAGCAAATAGAGACTCAGCCTTCAAATAGTTTGCCTAAGGCTGCACAGTAGGTGGTGGTGGTGTCTGATTCCAGCTCTCATGCTCTTACTGGCTATGCCTCCCCGGTATTATAAGGAATTCAGAGAAGTAGCTAACTGCGCACTTTGGCACACTACTGTGGCTGGAGAGGGGGCAGATGAGCTTAACATTTTGGGGGAATAATTTGCAGTATATATCAAATGTATTTGGTGGCGAACACTATAGCTACCCCTTATTTGCTTTGGTGTCTCCGACAAGTCGCTTGACTCTGAGCCTCAGTTTCATCACCAGCAATATGAGCACAGGTTGGGGTGAAACTTCAGTGAGATGATCCATGCAAAAGCCTCTAGTGGAGACACTGACACAGCAAATGTGGACCACTGCAAACATCATTAGCTCTAGTCCTTTCACGTATTAAACTTCTTGCTGGATGCTGCCAAGGTCTGTAAAGGGCAGGATGGACTGGCACTAGAGTCCGACAGACCTGGGTTTCCATCTCTGTCACATACTGTGTAACTCATCTCTAAGCACGGACCCTAGTGGGGCTGCAGTTTTCGCCTCTGTGAACGGGATGGTAACACCCAGTGCAAGCTGGTTTGTGAAGCACAGCCAACATAAGAAAACTGCACAAAAATGCATGCCGCTGAGGGAATCCTCACAAACTGAGTAATGAGCACCCAGGCTGAGTAACAGAACATGGCTACTACCTTGAAAGACCCTTTGGGTGCCTTCCCCACCACTAATCTCCCCGAAGGTAACCTATCTTCTAACAGCATGGATTTGATTTGCTTGTCCGAAGTCTAAATCTTAGCAGGTTTTGAGGACCGAAGTGAATGCAATCATTTTAATGTGCTGCTGGTCTGCTCAATATGTTTGTGCACATTCCTTTCTCTTCCCAGAAAGGGAGGCACAGAGTTGTGAGGAGTCTCAAAGGCTCCACACAACCAGCGTGGCTAAAGCGTACACAGAGATCCACCTAAAAGAGAAACCCAGCAATTCTTCCTGAACCCTGCTATCCAGGGTGGATGGGAGACACCGAGAAGGAGGTGGGACTCTGAGACTGGATGGGAGACCTCTCGTGGGCTGCTGGGGTACACAGCCTCTTCCCTTCTCTCAGCAACCCTTGAGCATGTCATGAGGCCTGAGCCTGCACTCAGACTAGGGCTGGGGGTGGGACAGGCAGAATCTGGGCTGAGACATAAACCAGCACCCTACCCCACAACTGCAGGTATTGACGCCTCCTCAGTTACTGATTCTGAACTCCTCAAAGTCACTTGAAGGGGGGATAACTCAAAGATACTTTCAATTTGTGTTTTGTTTCCTGAAGAACAGCCAGTGTAAATTATACATAAGTAAATAGATTTAGGGGGAAAAATAACCAGGAAAGTCAGCGGCATCTCCTAGACACACAGCTCTCTGTGTTTAGGCCTTATGTATTTGGCTTAACAGAGTACCTCTCAGAATGTGGACAAGCCTTCGATGACAGCGGGTGAATAGGGGCCTGTTCTCCTCAGCCCAGCTTAGCCAAGGATAGGTGGCCTGGTGCTGGCCTATAGGAGTTAAGAGGATGGTAACTAACAGTAATGAAAGGCCACTTTTTAGATTTCCCACCATTTTCAAAGCTGTATATATGTCATGTAACACCTCCTGTGAGAACCTTAGCAGGACTGAACGCCTTTCATGGAGTCCTCCCTGGAGGCAGCACAGTTTAGGAGAAACTTGACTCCTCACTGTGATAAGAGAGGCCTGGAGGGATACAGTCTTCCCTTCACTTGCTTAATTGGCAGACAAATGTTTGCCTAGCCTGTACCATGTTCTGTGAGGGAGACATCTTCACAGTGAAGATATTTATGGGGAAATGTAACAACCAAGAAGATAAGTAAAGAAAAGCCCCCCTCTCTATTTGGCCTGCGAAGGCTGACTTGGACAAGCTTCCTTAGCAGGCAGGGGCTTCACAAAACGATACGGAGTAAAGTCAGAAGGCACAGAAAACATTACAGCAGCCACGCAGCAGGACCCACTGAAAACTTGGAGCCTTATGGGAGAGGCCTCCAGCTCTGTGACTGTTTTCATTGCAGGCCATCACATCCATTTTAGTCTTTCAAAACCATGTCAGCTTCAAGCACCACCCCCAGAGAAGTAACTAGCACCTACATAACACCTACTACGTGCCACTTGGCATGGATTATCACACTGCCTCCTCCAAAGCATCCTCCCGTGATTAAATAATATTCAGACTTAGTGGTGAGGAAACTGAGGTACAGGCCGAATGTAAAATGCCTTGAAATCATACTGTTACAAAGGAGTGGCACTGATCTAGCAGCAGGCTGTCTTGTTCTAAAGTTCGGTGACCTCATGCTGTGGTTTGTAAATGATTTGTCCTTTTTGAAGCTCATGTTTAAATTTATTCTTTACTATGAGATATTATGAGGGTGGAAACTTAATACGACTACGACTTTGTGAGGTGATTGAGATTAGATGAGGCCATCAAGGTGGGACCCCATGATTAAATCACTGATGGTTTTATGAGAAGAGAGAGACAGACTAGAAGATCCGTGCATATGCGCCTAGCATCTTGTCACGTGATGCCCTGCACTGCCTGGGGCTCTACCAGCAAGAAGGCTGTCAGCAGATGGGGCCCTCAACCTTGGGCCAGAATTGTGAGCCAAATTGAATCTCTTTTCTTTATCATTCACTCAGTCTATGGCACTGTGTTATTAGCAATAGAAAATAGACTAATACACCGCACCTGCAGGGTCAGTCCCCTGTGATCCAAATCACAGTTTCATTCATTTATGCAATATACACTGAGCGCCTTCCACGAGTCAGGCATTGTGTTAGGTGCTTGGACAGCAGCAATTAACAGACTGACTGCCTGCTGCTGTGGAATTCAAGAGTCTAAGTGGGGTAAGGAGGAGGCAAAAGCGAAACCCATAAATGTACACTCTGGTTGGTGGTGACAAACAGGGTAAGAAGACAGAGTGACACTTGGGAGGCTTGTAGTTTTTAACACGCCTCTGAAGCAACTGGAGAGCAATCATTCTCTCTCCTGCTCCGATCATTCCACACGCTCCTGAACATCACCTCCCCACTCTCTACCCATGCACTTGGCCATTTTAACAAGTGCCACACCTTTTCCTCTAGAGACTACTACCATGTGCCCTTCACCGGTTTACTTAAACCACAAGATTCTTCAAGAAAACACTATCACTTGGTATAAAAGTAATTTCCTGGAAAGAAGTAAAGTAATTCTGCAAAAGTGAGTACGTCAGATTCACACTAATGCCCTTTCAGACTCAAAGAGCAAAGTACAAACTACGGCAACTGGGAAAAGGTGAGCTCTTCCCCCACAGACCGAGGCCCCACCGGAGGAGCTCAACATGTAGGCCTGACCCCAGCAATAAAGAGCTCTTAAATCCAACCAGACCTTGATCTATTTGCACATTTCAAAAAAGTTAGAGAGATGTCATATTAATTCGCATCCACAGCAGGAGGGAGTCCCTTAGGCACAGTGTCTAGGACTCTAGAATACTTTAGAGGGCCCATGAAACTGTTGTCACTTGTTTTAAAATGAAAAGAAAACTACGAGTATGATAATGATACTGCATGTATTAAAAGTAAATCCAGGGACTGGGGACTTAGCTCAGCGGCACAGCGCCTGCCTGGCAAGCATGAGGTCTTGAGTTCAATTCCAGCTACCAGAAAAAAAAAAACAAAAAAAAAAACATTAACACAATGTTAATTGTTAAAAGTAAATCCAGCCTGGATTTAATTCATCTTTCTATGAATGCAGTATGAAAATGTAAACTTTAGTATCTTTCTAGAGGAAGGGGACCCATGAATGCAAAAGTGCCTAAGGTCTGTGAAAGTCATATTGTGGCCTCTGCGAGCTTAATGCATATCTTCCCCCAAAAGTGGATGCACACACTATGACACAGTGCCGTTGAGCAATAAACACCCCTGACCCTGTGAAGAGTGGGAGAGGGATGTGGCAAGACTTCATCTGGCTCCTTCTGACCCCTGCCCTCGCTCACCAGATCATCCACTATTGGTTGAGGAGGCTGGGAGCCCTAACACGAGACATGCTTTATCTTATCGTGGATCCTTCAGTGTTTCTGCTCTTAGGCTGATAGTCAATAATAATAGTGCCTATAGTGCTGATAATTGTGAACGATTGTTAAGCTCTCCTTGTGCTGAGGAGGGAACCCAGTGTTTAACATAACTGAGGCAATAATGAAACAGATAAACTACTTGTGTATTTTTACATTAGCTTCTAAGAAGGCATATGGCTTCTTATGAGGCATTGACTTGCCTTTAGCAAATATGCACATGTCCGAGTGCATGGAGTACCTCAAAAGACTGATCTCTCAGCGAAAGCCTTGTTAGAGAATTCCAGCCTCATCCCTCCCAACATGCTCACCATTTTTTAGGATCACTTCTTCACTCTGGCTCTGGCTCGAGGGGTTCAATTCCTGGGGCCTCTTAATATTGCTCAGAGCTCTGGAGAAGTGCTCGTCCACTTCGCTGTTGATGTCCCCCTGGAAATAGGTGAAGAGGACACTTCGGGAATCCCACTCAGTCTTTATAGGCTTCTGCCTACTTGTGGGCAGTTGGGTATCAGTCTTCTTCATCCCTTCCATTGTGAGAGAATGACACAGATGAGCTGTAAACGAAAAGGAAAACATCACTTGCATTATTTTACAAAGGGGCTTGGCTCTAATTTGGATGAGTGGCACTTTTTTATGGTGTGCAAACATTTATTAAAATTGATGACATGTTTAATCTTCTCACCCATGAGTATTCAGCCAGCTGCCTGCAATTGGAACACTACTTTTAGCCGTACTTCTAGATTTCAACTTAAATGGTACTTAGGGAACACAGACTATGAGATCTTTTATCATTATAAAGTAATCAGTGAGATATAAGCAGCATTCTTGAGGGTAAACAGTTTGCTCCCACCCAGTACAGGTTCTCATTGAAGCCCCAGGGAGCCCCTAGGTTCCTGAAGGTCGACAATAACTCTGGAATGGGCTGTGGGCTAGCTGATGAGCCCAGTCTCATTGGCGTTCAGTGAACAACGTGAGAAAGCTGTACAAAGTGCTGAAAGCAGCCTTCACTTACAAATGAGAATTGTCAGGCCGCATGATTAGGAAAGCAAAAGGAAAGGGGGAGTGAGAGGACACTGAGGCCAAGTAGGAGAGTCACTCGCCTTCTGGAGAAGTGCCTCCCTCCCAAATGAGCGAGCCAAGCTCAGCCCAGAACTCCTTGTAGGAACAGGCTGCCTGGAGAGCTGGAGAGGCAAGCCAGTGGGAGCCTGACAATTTCAACTTGCATGGTAAGTTTTGCTTTCTATCTTGACCGGTTCCATGCAAAACACTAAAGCACATCCAATTTTCCCACTCCTCCTGAGGCCCCAGTCTGTGTAAGATGGTGTCCAGCAGATACTTGCACTATTTTAGAAATTAGCCATTACTAACAACATCAGCTTTAAGACCTCCAGACAGTCACATTCTAAGCCAAGTACAGATCTCCTCAAAACAATGTTATGATCATATATTGTAGGAACAGTAGTAGAAGGCTCCTGAAAGATCCTGAGGTTGTCATTCTCTTCACCACCAAGGCCTCTGTATCTAGAACAGTACCCCGGAATTGAGTAGATTCTCAAGAGCTGTTTGACATATTGCCTTAAAGCTGGATTCCATCATTAGCACCAACATTTCCTACCTCGTGAGTTCCTTGAGGTCACTGGCTGTCTATTTGCATCCAGCCCAGGACCTGGCACACCTCTGGCACTCAAAAAAGTCTAATCAGTGTTCAGGGAACATCATGAGCTTACTTTACTGGAGAAGTAGCCTGTCTAGATGCTTCTTTACCTTTGGCCGCCCAATCTGACTTATCGTGTGCTCTGACCAAAGGTGTATTTAATCTCTTCATTCTTGTAAAGATCATGAAAATGACTAGAGCCAAATAGACTGCCTTCCTCACGAGCTTATGAGATGTTTAAGATCAAGGAATATTTCTTATGCATGTCTTTATCCCAGGATCCAGCACAAAGTAGTTTGTGGATCTACTAGGTTAACAGGTAAGATGGGGACAATCTGGCCGTGAGCAGAGGATCCTTTCCAAAATGTTTTTCTTTCAGAATCATTCTAGCCCAGTCATAATTGGATTATGTTGTCTAGAAAAGCCTTTGATTGAGCACCATAATTTTGTTTCTCCTGGTTGACAGTCGAGCTACATGTAACCAGGCTTTACCTAAAAGTGAATTCAGTTTGCACCTTAATTTCAAATAACACCGAAACACAGAACAGCCTCTTCAAAATATTGAGAGTTTCTTACAAAGTTAAAACATTTTCTTACCACATGATCCAACAATCTCACTTGTAGGTACATATAACCACGAGAAACAAAAGCTATGCCCACACAGACCTGCACATGAGCGTTCATAGCAGCTTTACCAACAATGGACAAAAAATGGGAAATTATCCAATTTCCTATTACCAGGATAATAAACTAGCTGTGACATATTCATACAAAGGAATGCCACAAAGCAATAAAAAGGAGCAAACTACCAATCCACACAAAATCAGAGTGAACCTGAAAGACTCTGTACTGAATGAAAGAGGCCCGACGCAAAAAGCCAGATAGGGATGAGCCCACTTGCATATATGGAACAAGCCCGAATAGTCTATAGTGGTAGAAGTCACAATAGCGGTTGCCTGTGGGCTAGGGACTAAGAAGGGGCATGAGGGAGCCCTCATGGTGGTTGTTAGCCAAGGAGACTAGAACGTGCCTGATTTCTCATCAACATGGTCCCACATCTTGATGAGGGTGGTGATTATTATGTGCATGTGTGTATTTGTCAAAACTCCAACTGTCTGTTTAAGATCTGTGCATTTCACTGTAGGCAGATGATTCCTCAGGAAAAAGCGCAAGACCCATGGAGATACTTGGGGTTGTGGAAACAAAGCAAAGTTACTATGAATTGTAAAGTAAGAGACACAGAGAACATCCATTCTGCTCCGGAAGCTATACATGGATCTCCTCTAATCTCCATAAGCCTCAAAGTAGGTATTATTGTCACCATTTTATGATATGCAAACTGGAGCTTAGAGAAGGTAAAATAAACTGCCCACCGCACACGGCTGGGTAGTAGCAAAGCTGAGATGTGAACCCGAGTGTCTCTGGCTTCATGTCCGCTGCTTTTTACCATCCTTTACTGCCTACTTGATGGGCATAATAGTTCCCCCCCTCTCCAGGGCTCAGTCTCCCCATCTACCAAAAGTAGGGGTGGGGTTGGCCTCTAATCCCTAAGGGGCTGCGAGCCAGGACACTAAGGCAGTGGCATGATTTCCTTCAGGGAAAGCAGGCATAACCTCGGTTCTCTCCTCTGGGACTTCTCCTTGAAGCCACCACCTGCTGCTGCAAGGGCCGGATAGCACCTTTGGAGGACTCACCCTCTTAACGTGCAGAATTGCCAGCAGCCACTGCCCTAGGCTCAGGCTTGACACAGCTTGCAATCTACCTTTGTGAACTGCCCCCGAAGCCACATAGAAAGAGGTGACCGAATTCTTGGGAGATCAGGGCCAGGAGCACGTTCCTAGTCTCCTTGGGTAACATCAACAGAGACCAAAGGCCAGCTGGCCACAGCTGATAAAGGTTAGAGAGAAAATCGGGGTGGTGTTTCATCCCGATCATCTGTGGGCAAGTGAGGATACTGAATAAACCACAAGACTACCTCTACTTCTCCAAACACACAGACACACAAGGAAAGTGGGGGGCTACTTTTCTGGATTCAACTCTCAAGCAAGTCCCTAGGCTACATCAGACCCCAGGAGAGAGAAACGATATTTGAGGATTAGTAAAATTCTGAGTATTAATCTGGCTTCAGTGGTACATACCTGTAGTCTCAGCTACTCGGGAGGCTGAGTCAGGAGGACTGCTTAACCAAAGAGTTCAAGGCCAGCTTGGGTAAGAACAGTGAGACTGTATTTCAAAACAAGAAAGAAAGAAACATTAAAAAAAATCCTGAGAATTATCATTTGACAATACAATGAAGAACTATATAGCAATGCACCTCTGGAAAAACCTGACCAGATTCGTCTCAGATGATCTCCCTGTAAGGGGTCTCTGTTCATGTATCCATTGGCATGGGTCTGGCTTACAAGAGGGGGATGCCGCAAATGTGCATCTAAGCTACAAAATAGAAAGACACAACAGTCCAAGTGGACCTCGGAATACTGCTCAAACTTCTGCAAAAACCTTTGAACACAGAATCTAAAAGCAACTGTTTGGTCTACTGTACCTCATAGACAGGGCATGGACAATTTGACCACGCTTCTGCAAAATGGCACCCAGCACTCCTGGGCGGAGTGGGGCATCAGAAGTGTTGGTTGTCATGATGATCACTTAGAACCAGAGATCAGGTTGGACCTTATTGAGCACAGCATTTGATGCCCTCCAATTCCTTCCCAGTTGAATTTCCACCCATGTTCCCCCATTCCTGAAGTCCTCGGCTTCTCTTACCTTAATTCTGGACCGTCACCTGAGACAGACCAGACTTTATGGCTGAGCTGAGGTGAGTGCTGAAGGCCAGAGCTGTCTGGCCTGCTTTAGAGCAGCCCAGTGCTTGCGGAAGCAGGAGGCAGGGATTTGTACCCTCCCTTTGCTGCTTTCTAGCCCTCTAGCTGAGGCTGTAGAAGGCGTTTCCTGCTAGCTATCTATTAAGAATGCAGAAAATGCACTCCAACAAGTCAATCTGGTTGGGCACCTGCAAGAATGAGGAAAATGGATGGCTCTTTTTTAAACATTTCTTTCTTTTTGCATTAAAACTCATTTTATGATATTGTTTCTGAAACAGTTGTAGCCCTAAATCATACACAGGGTCACTAACATCTAGAACATCAATCACGGGGGTTTAGATCAAACTGATACCCTATTCAGTCTTGGGAACTGACAGTCAGCTTGGGTTTCCAGACCCCTTAGAATTCTAGATTTGTCATAGGCTTCCACCGGCCACAGAGGGAGTGAAGACTTCTATGATCCTTCAGTGAAGGAAGCAATTTTTGAAGACTATTCCAGCAAGAGTCATGCACTGCTCAAGGTTAAAAGGTTTGAAAAACCTTTAATATTGCCTCTTTACATGGCACCATCATTCAGGGCCCAACCCCTGGGGACATTCTTTGCCCTTTCCCTATTTCAACATTAGTTCAAGATGTATTTATTGAACACGTACTGTGTGCCAGGAACTATCTGGAAGTTCTGTTCTGCAGGACACAAATCGGACCAAATCTGCCTTCATGGAATAAATGCACACCTGTACACTGTGTGGTCATACATTATGTGTATAATGTTGGGCAGTGATTTGCACTGTGAAGAGAAATGGGGAAGGGCATCGGGAGTCCTGGGGCAGGGACTCTCCAAAAAGGTGACATTTGAGCCGAGCCCTGAGGGAGGAAGCCCTGTGGACACTTGCTCTCCTGATCCCCAAGGTGAGATCACGGTTAGCCTGTTTACAGAACAGCCAGGGGGCCAGCTTGCCCGGAGAGGGGGAGTGAGGAGAGAAGGAGAGACCAGATCCCAGAAGGCCTGGTCTGCCCTGCTTCTACTTCTGCTCTACTTGAGGAAGACCGAGTGGAGGGTGTGCAGGAGCACATCACCAAGCTCCACGAGCCCTGCCGTCCCAGTGCTTCCCACTTGGTCCTCCCTCAGCGCCTCTCCGGGGCCCACCCTAGGCTAAGCCCACATCATGTCTCCCCAGGGCCACCAGCACAGCCTCTCACCTGGACTCCTGCCTTCTACCCTCCCCTCATTCTAGTCCATGGGCCCCAAGGCAGCCACAGTGATCATTTAGAACATACGTACGATCCAGGCCCTCCTTGCTAAGAGCTTCTAGTGGTTTCCCTTCCAGCAGCACGGCCAACAAGAAAGACCCTCCAGGACCCAGCCCCTACTTCAGACTCTGACCTTATTTCCTACCACTCGCCCCTCCATTCCACTGCAGCCCCACAGACTTCTTGGCTATGCTTTGAACAGCTTAGTTGCCCTCTACTTTTTCCCCTTAGGGTTTCCTCTCCCCAGAATGTTCATCTTCCCAGGCTTCTTCCCGGCTTGCTCCCATACTTTATTCAAATCTTTGCTCAGTCTGTTCCTCTAAGAAGCCTTCTCTAACTATCCTGTCCAGAGTAGCAGCCTTGGAGTTCTCTGCCTTATCATCCTACTTTGTGTTTCTTCATAGCACTTTTCACGTCTTGCTATCAAATATTGCATATTTATTTGTGTAAAGTTTTTCACCCCTTCTAAAATAATGCCTGGCATATAGTGGGGACTCAGGCAATATTTTTTTGAGATAAAGTCCCACTATGTAGTCCAGGTTGGGCTTGAGCTCACTGTGTAGCCCAGACTGGCTTTGAACTTGAGACAATCCTCCTGCTTCAGTCTTCTGAGTGCTGACAGGCATGCAGCACCACCACACGCAGCTAAGTAAACGTTTATTGAATGTATGAGAAGTAGGGGGAGAAAGAAAGTATTCAAATATTCACACAAATGAACGTGCAACAGCCATGTTGCTGATCAACAGCTGGTACTAGGACAGCCATAATAAGGAAGTCTGACTTAATCGGGGGTGACAGGGCATCCTCCCTGTGAAAATGATGCTTGAGCAGAGGACAGATAGACCCAGAAGGCTGAGAAGTTAACTAAGCAAAGAGGGAAGAGAGGAGGGTTCTGAGCTGCAGAAATAGCACATACAAAAGCCCTGAGGTAGGCAGGACTGCAAATATGAGTGACAGAGAGAAGGAGGCAGCGTGTTTGGAGCGGAGTCAGTGGAGAAGGGGAGTGCAGTGCAGCAAGAGCTGGAAAGGTAGTCAGGGGCCACGGCCGGCAGAGTTTTGCAGACCATCCTGAAGAGTTCTGTATGTTTCCTGAAAATAATAAGCTATTGGAAAGTTCTACAGAAATACAGGCTGAGGACTATAGAGATGGTGAGGGAAAGGGAACTATCACCACATGAGTACTTTTAAATTATGCACTTTTTCCACTATCGGTGTGGAAAAAGGATCGGAGTAGTAAGTGAATGTGAATCGACCAGGTAGAGGGATGTCTTCATGGCCTAGGGGAGAGAGAATGATAGCTGGTTGCGGGGAGAAGGGAGGTGCAAATAGAAAACAGTGGATTTAATAGGTATGCAGAAAGTAAAGTCAACAGATTTGGTACTTAATTTGGTATAAGAAGAAGGGATATCAAAGATAATCGACAAAGGGTTATGTAACTTGATGGATGAGTTTGCCTTCCACTGGGACATGAAACATGGGAAGACTACTATGTTTAAAAGATAAAATTCCACTTTGAGCACTTTGATTTTGAGGAGACTTAAAGGTATTTAAGAAGAGATGACAGCATTCGGCCAGCAGAGATGTTAGGGGTGGAGATACAGATTTGGGGTATCAATGGTATATAGATAGTTACTGAAATTTTGAGCTCTAACTTTCCCAGGGAGCATGGACAGTGAGACATAAAGAGGCATTAAACCCACAGTCTGCGTGACTCCAACATTTCCCAGCCAAGGGGAAGCGAGGAGCCTGTAAACGTTACTGAGAAAGAATGGGTAAGAAGGTAGGACGAAAGCCAGAAGAAGGCTAATGTCCTAAAACCCAAAGAAGAGTGTATTTTAAGAAGTTGTAGCTATACATCTGTGCCAAATGCTGATGTAAAGTACAGGATTCTGATGCCTGCAAAGCATCTGTTTGAGTTCATGCCATGGAAGTCAGACATGACCTTGGTAAAAAGTGTTTGCTGCAGGGAGAATGCCAAATTAATATTCAAGGGATGGAAGAAAATGAGACGAAGGGCTTGTACTTTCAGTGTGGAGAGTACTTTTAGGAATGTGGAGGTGGAAACATGCAAAGAGAGAGAGACAGAACAAAATCTGTGGGGTAAGAGTAGGAGTGTTGAACAATGTTGTGTCTTTTTCTTAAAAGGGTAGATTTCAACATGACGAAGGCCAACTGGAAGGGTCCAGTTGAGAGCATGGGCTTGAATATACCAGAAAGAAAGGCTTTTTAATAATATGAAATACTGGAGGAAGCAGGTGGAGAAGATGAGATCAAGGCTCACATGAGAGGACAGCTTTCAGCAGCAGGCACAGTTCTGTTGTAACAGGACAAAAGGGGTGCAGGATGGCTGCACACACAATGGAGTTTGTGACCTCGGCCCATGAACTGGATATTCTTCATTTACTCACTTTTCGTGGTCATAGGGACTGCATCGGAAGGCAAGAGATCTTGACTGTAGTCTCCGATGCTTTTCAAAACAAATTTGCAATCTTCGGGAAGTTATTTCTCATTCTTTTGCTCATTTTTAAAGCTACACTCTTCTGAGTAAATCAAGGGGTGGTGAAGTCTAAAATGGTAGAAAATGAATGATTTCGAATGTTCTTTTTATTGTGTTTTCAAACACAAGTGCTCACTTCCAGTTCATGTACTATTATTACTAATTTACTCATGTACTATTATTTTCCTTCCATAGTCGTGGTAAAATGCCAAAAATAAGACAAAAACATCCAGAGTGCTAGGGAGCCATAAAAGATCACTAGCAGATCAGAAAAACACAGTGTGCCAGGTACTGAGTTGAACAGTTTAAGCCATTTAAATATTTCCATAAGGCAGGTACTATCACTATCCAATTTTTGAAAAAATTGAGTAAACAGAGCCACAGAGAAGCTAAGTAGCTTGTACAAGCCAGGTAGTCTGGCTCAATATGCTAGGCTTCTATGTCGTGTAAGCTCCCAGGAAGAGTCAAAATTTCTGGAAATTAGAGGGCAGACCCCACACCCTGCTAATCTAGGAACTGGAAAAGGATGGTGGAGAAATGAGCATGAACCTTCTAAATAGGGCCCCAGGAAAAGCTCAGAGATAGCAGGGGCTTGGCACTAGAGTGAAT